TTCTACATATTTTTAGTTGTCCAATTAATTTCTTTCTATTTTTAGTAGAGATGGGGTCTCACTCTTGCTCAGGCTGGTTTCGAACTCCTGAGCTCAAACGATCCGCCCACCTCGGCCTCTCAGAGAGCTAGGATTACAGGCGTGAGCCACCGCGCCCGGCCTGTGTTTATATTTTAACAGTGACTTTTGTAATCAGAAACAAAAAGTTTTATTTTAAGCTATTTTCTGCAGGTGGTTGAAGGATTATTTTCAGCAAGGTAAGGTTGAATCTTTGCATTGCCCTCTATCACTTCTGACACCTGGGTTGTTCTGTAGGGGGACTTGACGAACCTTGTACATGGCAGCCACTGTTCCAAATACAGACTGGCAAGGATCCCAGGAACCAATGCATTTGTTGGCATTGTCAATGAAACATGCGACTCTCTTGCCTTCTGTGCTTGCAGCATGGTGGACCGACTGTGTCTCAACTGTCACAGGTAAAAATGTGATGGGTCATATTCTCTGTTCACCGCACTCTTTAATATCTGTTCTGATGCCAGGCATTTTGAAGTGGCATCTACAAAATAAACAGAAAGTGCTGGTATAGGTCCTGAAGAAGAGGGAAGTCCCCATTACAAAGGCATTTAGAGCTGTGCTGTTTGTAGCATCATTGGTCCAAACAAAGAGCAATGGATTAAGGCCAATTGTGTATTTAAAGTGTTAATTATAACTTCTTTTTTACTGTCCTTTTAAACTAGCTCAGGGCTTCTTTATTTCCTCTCCCAGTACGTGTACAATATACAGTTTGTCATTGACTCTCCACGTAGTAACTTTCTTTCTTTTTTTGCTTTTCAGAATGGAACAAAACGAATGTGAATGTCCTTGTGAGTGCCCTCTAGAGGTCAATGAGTGTACTGGCAACCTCACCAATGCAGAGAACCGGTAAAAACACATATTAAATATTTATTTATACACACACACACACACACACACACAAAATACTATGGAGTCTCTTAGATTTTGGGGGGGTTGGGGCATACAACAATGATTTATTTTAATGATGAAACTGTTCAGTGAGCCAGATTTCAAGCTCCATAGTACCATAAAATGATGTCCACTTTGAGGTTTAAATTTTAAATGCTATAAAAGTGTTAAGAGTGTATGTCCTACATACAGAAAAATGTGAGAATGTTACAGGTGTTTACTAAGTGCCTGCCATTTATCAGGCACTGTATGCACATTAGTCATTTAGTTTTTTAATTAACCCTGAGATAAATATACAGGTGCTTTTCACATATGTGCGGGCTTGGTCGTGCATAATATAGCATTATTTATTGATGTTAGTGACAAATTTTAACACCAGTTAAATAAAATTGTGATAAATTCCTTCTCTAGAACTTAAGAGTGTCATGTGTATTTGTATCATTCCTATTGTACATACTGATGAACGCATTGATGCTCAGAGTTGTTAAGTAATTGGCCCAAGGTTACATTAAGTGGCAAAGCCCGGGCTCACACTGAGATCTGTCAAGGACCAGGGGCATGATGAGTTTGGAATGTGGCTGGTGCTGGTGCTGGTCCTAATCTCCAGCCTTTCTCCATGCACAGAAACCCAAGCTGCGAGGTCCACCAGGAGCCGGTGACATACACAGCTATGGACCCAGGCCTGCAGGACGCTCTTCACCAATGTGTCAACAGCAGGTGCAGTCAGCGGATGGAAAGTGGGTAAGCAGAACCTAGGAATGAATAGTGATCAGTAGCCTCATGGACCTTTTCCAGCTAATATTTATTATTACCATTCTTGGCGTTTTAAAAAGATGTATCAGTTTTTCAGATCTGAAACTGATTTCCATAAGCCTTTTATCCACCAGATTAAATGTTGTCTAGTTCCCACTTACTACCGCTACATAGCATTTGTACAATATGTTAGTAGTCTCATCTGTGGATGAGACTGTTTTTCTTGAAATGAAAGAAGCATGAAGGGATGTGTCATAAAGAAGCAAAGCAAGGGAATGGGGACTCCAGAAACAGACCGAGCAATCCAGGCTCTATGTGTGATTTTTCTTTTTTTCTTTTTTTTGTTGTTGGTGTTGTCGAGACAGGGTCTCACTCTGTTGCCAGGGCTAGAGTGCAGTGGCATCATCATAGCTCACAGCAACCTCAAACTCCTGGGCTCAAATGATCCACCTGCCTGGGCCTCCCAAAGTGCTAGGATTACAGGTGTGAGCCGCTGTGCTCAGCCTCTATATGTGATCTTTCTAAGCTCAGTAATTTTCCTTTCTATGGCAGCAGATCTGCTTCATAGTAGTTTTGAGAACTATAATAAAAACTACTTGCCCCATTCTCCCTCCCCACTCCCTGGGTGGGAGCAGGTGTTTTGGACTAGGCATCTTGGAAACGGTGGCTGTGGTAGACCACATGGCGGAGGTGGGTGATTAGTTTATTGCAGCTTCAGGTCGCCATTTGACTAACAGAGTTTGTGTGTAGAAGGGACAGCCTGCCCTACTTTTGGTGTGTACTTTAGCAGAGGAAAGATCTGGCATCAGATTGATTAATTTGGGACGTTATGCCATCGTTCCAAGTCAATTAAGTCTGTGAAACACTGACATTGCATTCATTCTTTTAAGAGAGTCACAATGCATGTATTAATTAATAATTTATTAAAGGCTCTAAGAATTTGGCAGTTGGGAAATCTATATAACTGGCCTAGTATTCTCCAGACTTATTTATTTCCTTCCTTTTCTTTTTCAAATGACCACACACTTGGGAGATGGTAGGCCAAAGTCTGACAAACCTTGCAGCCATTTCCATCTGGTCTTTTAAGATGGTTTTGAATAACCCCCCATTAATCCATGATGTGTGGGTATCATTTAATTCACAGAGAACAGTTTTAGCTCTCTCTCTCTCTTCCAAGTTGAGAGGCATAAAACAGTTATCCCCTGTTGGACTGTTGCCATTCTCCTTTTAGAAGGAAGGAAACTAAAGCTCAAGAATTCCACGGCACTAGTAAGTAACGGAGATCTTAAGAGCTGTCTGAAGAACAAGCCTCTATGTTCCCTCCTGCCCCACACTGCTTTTGAGAACACCAAGCACTGTCTTTCTTGCAGGGACTGTTTTGGGGTGCTGGATTGTGAGTGGTGCATGGTGGACAGTGATGGAAAGACTCATCTGGACAAATCCTACTGTGCACCCCAGAAGGAATGCTTCGGGGGGATTGTGGGAGCCAAAAGTCCCTATGTTGATGACATGGGAGCAATAGGTATGTTTGTTGGGAGCCCAGAACAATTTGATTCTTGAATACATATCTTCCTGCCTGTATACTAGAATGGTTTAAAAATAAACCTCTACCCAAATTTCCTGATTCCTTTGCCAGTAGTAGTCTTTAGTTACAAAACCGCGGCAGATAATTGCCTTCGGAGCTGGCTAGATATTCTGTGCAGAGAGAGTGGCCATCTGTCCTGCCAAATTCTGCAAGCCTGGGCCTCATTCCCATAAAGCTTGCTCTGAGAAATATCAGGGCTCGTTTCCGCATGGCTACACTCCGGATTCTGTGTGGATGTGTGTGCCAGCTGTCAGAAGTGCAGGGCTGACCACTGCACATCTAGTTCCTGCTGCAGCCTTCACTCACAGCTTTTGCAAGGCAGAAAGTCTTATAGCTACAAATCAATATTTAGGGGCTTGGGGCCAACAGAAGCCACAGCTACCTGATGTGGCTAGGGCAGCCTAGGCTGAGAACAAGGACACCATAGGGAAGAACGCCCCTGGGATCGGTCTCCAAGACCTTGAAAATACTGCCAAGGAGACTATATCCCTTTCCTGAGCTTTTTTTTTTTTTTTTTTTAGTGTCTTTCTAGAATTAACACCAAGTCCTAATTCTTAGCTGGCAGTTGACTCAGATATTTAAGCCTTTAGCTAATACCTTGATTTTTAACATTTCTTATATCAGCCTGTCTAAAGAAGCAATGCTCATATGTGAGGAAGGGTTTTGAATTGACGTATTACTATTGAACCAGGTGAGGCCACAGCTGAAGTGACCTAGCTCCAAGAAATCATTTTATGTGCTACCTACAGTTTCCTATCTGGAAAGTACAAATGGAGATTTTTTTGTTGTTGTTGTTTTTTTTTTTTTTTTTGAGACAGAGTCTCACTGTGTTGCCCGGCTAGAGTGCCGTGGCGTCAGCCTAGCTCACAGCAACCTCAAACTCCTGGACTCAAGCGATCCTCCTGCCTCAGCCCCCCAGGTAGCTGGTACTACAGGCACCCGCCACCATGCCCGGCTAATTTTTTTTCTATTTTTAGTTGTTTGGCTAATTTCTTTCTATTTTTAGTAGAGATGAGGTCTCACTCTTGCTCAGGCTGGTCTCGAACTCCTGAGCTCAGAATGATCCGCCCGTCTCGGCCTCCCAGAGTGCTAGGATACAAATGGAGTTTTAAAGGGAACCCATAAACTTTGAAACGCAGTCTGTATGGCACGTATTTCTTGTACCCAGAGCCCCCTATTTCAGTGGATCAGTCCGTGACCCTCCTGAGAGGCCCACGTAGCCCTTGCCTCTGCACTAGGTGACTTTTTCTGTCTTGCAAGAGGCGCTCCCTCCTCAGGGAGCCGGGGCTCTGAAAGCACCGGGTGCCGCATACTTAAGTAGCCCTTCTCATGTGCTCACTGGTTCTGGCAGTCCTTGCCATTTGTGTTCTTGCTCTGCCTGGCAACCAACATTTGAGAACCAGGAATTAAACGAAGCCTCTACTCCCACGTTCTGGTGGGGCTTCTTAGAGAAATCCGAGGCTTGACGCAGCTGTTTATCTTCCCCAACCCCCTTCCCGGGCTGTGCCTTCCCACCTCACCACCCCCTTTCCTCCACACCGCCTACTGCACTTGGAAAGTCGTAACAAGGAGTCTCCTTTTGTTTATTTCACTGAAGGCGATGAGGTGATCACGTTAAACATGATTAAGAGCGCCCCCGTGGGCCCCGTGGCCGGAGGGATCATGGGGTGCATCATGGTCCTGGTCCTCGCCGTGTACGCCTACCGCCACCAGATCCATCGCCGGAGTCATCAGCACATGTCTCCTCTCGCTGCCCAAGGTGAGCTCAGAGTGAATCCCACAGCTCCTTCAGAAGGTAGCCACCTCCCTGGGGTTGTTCTGAGGCTGGATGCGCAAGGCCAGTTGTGTGAGCCTCTGTGGAGTTATAAGAACAGCACTACGTTTTCAGCTTCTGTGCAATCGTTTCAGCAGTCCCCAAAGCCTGATTTCTTCTTTAGTGCCTAAACCCTGCACGTTCCTTTTTGATTCCCCGGAAAAATCCCTGGATCCTCTCTCTTACCAACATTAGCCTGCAGTGGCCTCTGCCCCTATCATAATCAGGGCAGCTGGGATGCTGAGAGGAAAATTTATTTGTCAGATGTGCTGCCCTTGCAGTTGCAAAAAGACGGGCACATCAAAGACACCCCAGCTCACTATCAGTGAGAATATGCATCTGTTCTGATGCAGCTGCCTTTATATAGTGTGAACAAACACACATTGGAATAATCATATCTCTTACAACAGCATAAGTAATCGAAGCCAAGTACAAAATGATTAATCTCTAATCATGGCCTCGATACCGAGAGTTTTAGTGTGGCATCTGTACCCATTTGCAGGGAACAAAACCATTTAATGGTCACGGTTGTCCTTCCGGCAGCCCCAGCCCCCAGGGATATGTTAACCTGACCTTTATGGAGAATAAGGTTAACACATCTTTATTCCTGGCCACTTAGTTCTCACCCTTGCAGGCAGTAATGACAGGTTGATGTTGGAATGTTTCACTCTGGCCACCGTCCTGAAGAGGGATTGTGGGTAATGTTGCCCGATTTAGTAACAGGGAGAATCACGAAGTGCTTTCCCCTTGGCAAGATTTGGCTAGACTGAGGATGACCATCATCCAGTGTTACTTTATCCCTGGCCTTTTAGAAGCTGTTGTAACACCATTTTATCAGCATAGCCAGTCATGGTTGCGACCTCTTTCCTTCTGTTTCTGTACTTGAGCAGACGATTAAAGATCTGTTGACGTCAATCAACTTTTTTCCTCCTCTTTCTTCAGAAATCAATTTCAGGTGCCTTCTTGATTGTTCACTTCTTGCTTTGCTTCTTTGGATTCCTGCTCCCTCCTCCTTAAAAAAAAAAAGGGGGGGGGGGCATCAGTTCACTCTTTCCAAGATAGGATTCATTCTTGATGGAATGCTGTCACCCAGCCATCAAACGCGCACCCAGCAGGGTATTAAAGTGGATGATTTTGTTTGATTAAATAGTCATGTTTTTCTCTTTTTAATGATGGGTAGAAATGTCAGTGCGTATGTCCAACCTGGAGAATGACAGAGATGAAAGGGACGACGACAGCCACGAAGACAGAGGCATCAGTGAGTACTCAGCTGCCTCTCTGCAGAATGTGTCAGCAGGAGGCTGATCCTAAATAAATATTCCTTCTTATATCCTTTTGGCTTGTATTAAACTTTAAGAAGCTTTGACACGGTGGGTGTTTCTTTTCTCTTCCTTTTTTGTTAGGAATAAGTGTAGGTCTTTCTTTTAGAAAATCTCAAAAGATATTAGGGTGTTATTTTGTGCCTTAAGTATTTTGGCCTAAAACAGATCACCCTTTGCTTGCTTTCTCTTCCTCGTTGCTTTCCAACATAGTATTTAAGAAAAGGAAGTTTCAGGTATGCATTGTTTTAATCCCTTAAATGGTATATACAGCTTGGGGTTGGAAAGGAGAGCATTTTCTTTATTAAAAGAGAGTTCCACTAATGTTGAGCTACCCTGGCCTTCACCTTCCTAGAGCATAGCTTCTTGATACATGTTGGTAATATGTAATTAAGTACCTTTCACTGCACTAGTTCTAAAATCAGCTCTCCTGATACTCAGAATTTTTAAAAAATTACTTATTCTAGCGCTCCAAAGAATAACTCCTCCAACATATGAATAAGCCCACTCAGAGCAAATGTGTTTGAAACGATAAAGATGCTGGCATGACAGTGACATTGACTGTCCTTGACTTCCCACAGTCAGCAACACTCGGTTTATAGCTGCAGTCATCGAACGACACGCACACAGTCCAGAAAGGAGGCGGCGCTACTGGGGCCGATCGGGAACAGAAAGTGATCACGGTGAGAGCCAATATCCTGTGTTTGGAGACCTAAGGGACCTAGTGTACCCCTGTGGGATGGTACCCACACCTACCTCCCTCTCTCTTTCCTGTTCTGTGTTTAAGTAAATTATAAGAGCCCAAGGGCAGTTTTACTTATGTCCAGCACTCCCAGGCACAGCCGGATGAGCTCTGGACACACAGATTGCTTCCAAGTGTTTCTCCATAAAGAAGGATTCATATTGTCTGAGTGGAAGCTGCTTACTCGCCCGCTCTATTGTCAGTAGAGTCAGCATCCTCTTAGGTCCTGCCATCCAGTGTGCACTGGCAAACATCAGCATCATTAAGAGCTTTCCCAGCCACGTCCCCTTGGGGCATAACGAGAATCTGTGCTGTCCTCTAGAATTCTCCAGCCGTGACCTCTGGCCTTGTCTGGGAGACTCAGAAATGGCTTCACCAAAGAAACAACATTTGCACTGAGGCTTGAGGGATGATTAAAGAAAAGTTAGGGGTAAAGGATATGAGAGGCAAAAAGACACATGTGCATGCAGTCGTGGAGTTGGGTAAGGTACCTGTAAGATGCTCAGGATGGGTCGGGCTGAATTGTGAAGAGATGCCAAGTGCTAAGGACTTGGGAAGTCCGCGTGCTGCTCTCCTCGGTGTCCATGTTGTCTGCTGTCAGAAGGAGCAGATGTAACCTAGTCTGTAAGCATCATAGTCTGTGTTGCCGTAGCTCCACAAAAATATAAACAGGCGTGCTAGGACTTTTCCTATCATCGTCAAATCCTTTTATTTTTTAAGATAGCTCTTTAATTTTCCAGAAATCTTTAATTCCTCCCAGAATCAGGTCCTTTTGTTAATGCATAAATAATATATTTAATCCTTTTTGACTTAGCTGCTTCTATACCTTTCCTGGAAAAAAAAAAAAAAAAGTCTTCAAACACTGTGCTCCCACACTTGTGCTAAAAAATGCAGGAGTAGGTATTCCTCAAAGCAACCGATGTCGCCTTTTACGCTACAGCCAGGTATTCAAACTCCCTTTGGAAAAGAGGAGAAGCTAAAGCTCTCTTTTATAAATTGGAGATTGTTAATTTGGGCTTTGAGTGACATTGTTCCCACCAACTAAATAGAAACTTTTGGTTTCTATGGAGAGCCAAAACAGAACTTAAATTTTTCAGTTTCTTTGACTTCCTGGCTTTTTTCCCTAAAAACCTTTGAACCTGCATAAATTCCTGCTGCCAGGCAGTTCTGTGCCTTCTCCTTTGAATAATGAAACAGGTTTGAGGCTACTAAAGTTCAACAGAAATAATTTCTTATTCAGCAGAACTACTGAATCCTTTTTCTCTCTCCCCCAGTAGAAACTGCATCAGTACCAAATTGGGATTCTGAGTGACATTTACGATGTTCCATTAGCCTTTCCCATTGTCTTAGTAAAATGGCATATGAAGCAACAGCTTAGATGAAAGGAATGGTGCGGTGTCAGTATCTGAACACCAAGGAATCCAGCTAAGGGCTTGGTTCCTTTCATTTTTCACAGTAATTGGATCCCTATTATCCCCAAGGAATGAAAAATAGTTTTTTTGTGCAGACAAAACACAACACCAAAAGAAGGGGAAGGCATTGACATTGCACATAGTTCAAATGCATCATAAAATCAATAGAATTTAACTGCATGTTTTCATCCCTTGAAAACCTGTACATGGGTCACTAAAAATGGTGGCATCGAGTTAATGTCCCTGCGATGCCTGGAGGCGAAGCTATACACATTAAACGAGGAAATCTTATTGTCCTGTCAACACATTTCTTGCTTATCTGTGTATCCTCCTATTTGGCGAATGTATTGGGCTTCTGGTGTGTTCTGTTATGCACCAAATTAATGGCGTCTCCTGTATGCAACAGGGGTCCCATGGATTACGATGGAGCTGAAAAATTTCTGTTGCCTAGTGACATCTTGGTGATTCTGACCCTGTGTAGGCCTAGGCTAATGTGTGTGTGTGTGTCTTCGTTTTTAACCAAAAAGTTTCAAAACTGAAAACGTAAAATTTGTAAAATAGAAAAAAGCGTATAAAATAAGGATATAATAAAAGAATATTTTTGTACAGCTGTACAATGTGTGTGTGTTTTAAGCTACGTGCCATTATGAAACAGTCAAAAGTTAAAAAATTGGAAAGTTTTTAGTTAGCTAAGGTTGATTTAATATTGAAGAAAGAAAAAACTTTTTTTACAAGTTTAGCGTAGCCTCAACGTTCGCGTTCAAACAGTCGGCAGCAGTGTGCAGTGACGTCCTGGGCCTTCACGTTCGCTCAGCACTCGCTCACTGCCGCGCCCAGAGCAACCTGAGTCCTGCAAGGTCCGTTCGTGGTAAGTGCCCTAGACAGGTGTACCATTTTTTAATCTTTTACACTGTATGTTTACTGTCCCTTTTCTTTATGGAGGTATGTTTAGATACACAAATACTTACCACCGTGTTACAGTCGCCCACATTATTCAGCACAGTAACATGCTGTACAGGTTCGTAGCCTGGGAGCAAGAGGCTACCCCATGGAGCCTAGGTGTGCAGTGGGCTATACTGTCAAGGTCCGTATAAGTGCATTGTGACGTTTGCACAATGACAAAATCATCTGAGGATTTTTTTCTCACAACATATCCCTGTCCTTAAACAACACATGACTGCACTAAGCACCATGGAGGGAGTTAGAGACGAGAGACTTTGTCTGTTCGCGAGGCAGATGGCACAGGGGAAGAGCTAAGGAGATAGAGTCAAGCCAAGCTCACTTCAAATCCCGCTTCTCCCTCTTTGTTTTTTTTGTTTTTTTTTTTTTTTTAAATCTATTGCAACCTGAAGTGAGCTACTTTGGACCTCAGTTTTCTAATACTTAAAGTAGGATTAAAAATTCCTACCTGGAAAAGTTGTTGTGAGGATTAAATGAAATGACGTATGGTAGGCTTGGAGCTCAGGTTTGACTTCCCTACCTCCATGCCCACCCTGCCCTGCAGGAATTTACGATCTAGGAGGAAACTATAAATGAATGTATGTATCCGTCACACTGATAAAAGGTCGAATGTGACAACTTCCTTAAGGAGTGGAACAAAGAAGAAAAGGGGTGGGTAGGATGCTTCACTTTTATCTGCAGGTAAATCGTGGAAAAGCCCATGGCGGAACATGGCACTGACTGGCCCTTGGACTGGTGGGATGGGCGTGCCGTGGATCCGTGCTACCCAGTGAGCATATTTCTGTGTGAGTCCTTGGGTGCGACACTCCAGAGGAAACTCAAAAGAATAAAATATATAAGTGTCTGACTGCTGAACAGCCTAGGCTTTCGTGGTGTGGTTCAGAGTTGTGATGTTCCTAGAATTAAAACTGAGTGTTACCAAGCTGGTCTTGGAAATTTCGGGCTGTGTTTTTATTTAGAAATAGTTTATGTGACCAAAAGAGTTTTACATTTCTTTTCTTCTTTTTTTGTTTGGTTGTTTGTTTGTTTAGAGACAGGGTCTTGCTCTGTCACCGAGGCTTGAGTGCAGTGGCACTATCACAGCTCACTGCAACCTCAAACTCCTGGGTTCAAGTGACCCTCTCACCTCAGCCTCTGGAGTAGCTAGGACTACAGGTGTGTGCACCACCATGCCTGACTAATTATTTTTATTTTTATGTTTTAGAGACAGGGTCTCACTATGTTGCCCAGGCTAGTCTCGAACTCCTGGCCTCAAGCAATCCTCCCTCCTCAGCCTCTCAAAGCACTGGGATAACAAACATGAGCCACCAAGTCTGGCCAGAGTTTTGTATTTCAAAGGAATCTAATTTTAATTTTTGCATCTTAAAAACTATTCAAATTGAGAGTGTTTTTTAAAAGTAGAATCATTTTGGTCAATATTCTAAGACCACTTAGAATGATTGTTATTCAGCTAAGTGTTACACTCACAAGTGGACGTTAGGAACAATCAGTGTCTGTGTGTGCTTTTAACTGTGTATCCGCTTTGTTCATTATTTCTCTTAAAAATATCGTGTTCTGTCTAATCATATACTGGCTTAATTTTAAGTTAAAAAACACCAATATGTATTTGTTCCTTGTGAATTTATATTTTGATTTGTATTTTCTTATTAGAAACTTTATGCAAATATATATTAAGCAACTTTTTTTCCTTTGAAAAGGGGAATTTACCCCTGGTTCTTGGCAAATTCCAAAATACTTAAAAGGGAAATAAAAGGCAAACACAAAACCTTGAAAACCTGATCAAAAACCATGGAGGTCAACGGAAGACCATTTACTGGTGCTGTAAAAATATTCTCCTGCAGTTACTGTCTGTGGCCACGAGATGGTGAGTGAGTCCCCAGAGGGACCTAACGTATTTACAATCAAGAGAGGTTTCTTAGGAACCATCAGATAAATACATAGCAGAATGTCAAAGAACAAAAACCTAATCTTGGCTCTTCTGTTCATTATGGACTCCTGGCCTCCTTCCTGAAGCCAATTTCTCACTCGAGATTGTCTTTGGAGACACTCTGCTATGCCAGCCTTTGCATAGTAAAGAAATTTTTCCTTTGAAAGTGTTTGCAGATATCCTTTGTGTTTCAAATGGTGCTTCTCCCTCCATGAGTCAGGGACCACGTCTGTCTTAATTCGTCACTGTTCCCGGTGCTCGACAGAACTGCCTGGCACAGAGTAAACAATTAATTTGTCGAATGAGGAAATGTATTTCTCTGACCTGCCTCTCCACAACTTGCTTTCCTTAGTTATTGAAATAAGAGGAAATTACCGAGGGATTGAGCAATAGTATTACAGTGAGAAAATTAAATGGAGAGTGGCCTTAGTCTGAGGGTTTTACTCTGCTGCGGCTCTCATCAGAAAGCAGTAACAGAAGAAATGGGGGTGCCCCCCTCAAGTTGCCTTGGAGACAACAGCACCTTCACTACCACCCTGGGTCACTCAGACCTGTGACCAGCCAAGCTCAGAGTGTCACTGGACTCTGCCAGAAGCCTTGGGCAAGGCCCAGTGAATCCTAGAATGTCTTCATTATTAGATGAGACTAGTGAATGTCATACTAGGCAAAGCCACAGACAACTAAAAAAAAAAAAAAAAATTCACTGGTGCGATTGCTTTGGGACTAAATGTGGGGGGGGGGGTTGCTTTTGTTTGTAAGTGCCTGCTTTGTGTGAAGTACTATGTTAAATCCTGAGAGTCTAAAGATAAACAAGTGCCTGTGATTTATGAAAGAATTTGCTAATGGACAGATGGTCTTGTTTTTATTATAACATGCTAACATCTAAGATAGAGATGCGCGCAGAGTGCCGTGTAAACGCCAGAAGGGGCACCAGCCCCGTGCGGGCTGTGGACCGGAGGCGGTGGCGGGGAGTTGGTTGGGAAGGCTTCTCAGAGAAGACCTTCAAAGCAAGGCCAGTAGCAAGATGGGGGGGGCGGTGAGCCAAGCAAAAGGGCCCCCATGAATCTAACACCTCAAGTGTTAAAATGAATTGTCAGTTAGCGTGGGTGCTTGTAAATGAGCAGAGATGGGAAGCTATCCAGGAGGTGTTTGAATAATCAACACAGACGCTGGGATTTTGCTAAAATCTTGTTTTCTACTTTCATCCTTTGCACGAATAGCATGAGGTGGTTTAAGCACACACAGCACTTCGTAACTGAGGTTTGGGAGCCTAGTACCCAATCTCACATTCTAGACCTGGCACTGCCAGAGCTGAGAAACTTGTTCTGGCTCCTGGTCTCATAATCTTGAGTAAAGGCATCACTGTTTCCCTAGGCTCTGAACCCAGAAAACTCCACCTTTTCCAAGGGTGTCAACCTCTCTGGCATCCTCACCAGGCAGGTCCATGTGGTCACCAGATCCAGCCTACTCTGTTGAACAGTCTCTTGCTCCATTTCCAAACACTGCAACTGTCCCACTTTCAGGTCCCCACTGTCTCCTCGAAGCCCATGCTCCTGCCTCCTGTCTTCTAAGCTTCTGATCCCACCTTCCTTCCGTCCAGCCTCCTCACTGCCACCTGCCTGCCACCTTTGCCTATTACTAGATCCTAGCTCATAGCTCTGACCAGCTTCTGGGGTGGGGGGTGTTGTTTTGTTTTTATCATTTATTTGGTTTTTTTGTTTGTTTGTTTGTTTGGTTTTTGAGACAGAGTCTCACTGTGTTGCCCAGGCTAGAGTGCTGTGGCATCATCCTAGCTCACAGCAACCTCAAACTCCTGGGCTCAAGCGATCCTCCTGCCTCAGCCTCCCGAGTAGCTGGGACTACAGGCATGCCGGCTAATTTTTTCTATATATTTTTAGTTGTCCAATTAATTTCTTTCTACTTTTAGTAGAGACGGGGTCTCACTCTTGCTCAGGCTGGTTTCGAACTCCTGAACTCAAACTGTCCCCCACCTCGGCCTCCCAGAGAGCTAGGATTACAGGCGTGAGCCACTACACCCGGCCATTTATTTGTTTTTTGAGACAGGGTCTCACTCTGTTGCCTGGGCTGGAGTGCAGTGGCATCATCATAGCTCACTGCAGCCTCAAACCCCTGAGCTCAAGCGATCCTCCTGCCTCAGCCTCCCAAGTTGCTAGGACTATAGGCACATGCTACCACACCTGGTTAATTTTTCTATTTTTTATAGAGACAGGGTCTCACTATGTTGCTCAGGCTGGTCTCAAACTCCTGGCCTCCAATGATCCTCCTGCCTTGGCCTCCTAAAGTGCTGGGATTACAGGCATGAGCCACGGCGCCCAGCTAACCAACCAGCCTTCTTGATCTGGTCTTAGCCTTCCGGCACAGCACCATCTCCCGCTGCTGCTCCCCGACACCAAGCTTTCACCATTCCCAAAACCCACCGGAGTCTGTCAAGCTATTGTGTCATTGCAAGTGCTTGTGCCCTGTTGGGAGTACCTTCCCACTGCTTTATTAATCTAGTGAGCCCCTTTTCTGCCATGAAGGCCACATCCTCGAGGATTTAAACCAAGTTCACCAGCTTTGGGATTCCTTTTGATGCGCCTGTTTGAGCGCAGGCGTGTTTCCCACTCTTGCCTGTGGGCTTCTCAGGAGCTGAGGGCACACCTTACCCTTTTTCTGTTCCTCCTCAAGCCTGGCAGCTGGCTCCAAGAAGGCACTCAGTCACATAGACACACATGTCAGTGAACTCTCCCTCTTCTGCCCTGACTTCTCAGATGACACTTCTGAGTTTCTGGCTAGACGTCTCCACCGATGTAACCCAAAGACTCTCAAAATCAAGATGCATAGAAACAAAATTTGTTTTCTCTCCTGAAACTTGGGATCTCTGTGTCTCCCTTTCTCATCATCCTAACTTGAAATTATAGTCACCTTTAACCACCCCTTACCTCCCATAATCACCCACATCTGATGGTTTACCAACTGCTATTGCTTCCACCCGAGATAGCTTTTAAATCTGTCCAATCCCACTGAGATAGTGTTAATTCTTCATCTCTCGTCTGGGCTATTGCAATAACCTCTGACACCACCATCCTCTTCCCTTTCATTCACCTTCTAAACTGCCACCAGAACTCTCTGAACAAGAACTGATCGTGCCATTTTTTGGTCTATTCAAAATCATGTATTCTCTCTCCATTTTCTAGCCTTTGGTGTGAGCTTTATGATCTGACTTGAACTTTCCTTTCTGCCTTCCACCTGCCCTGTTCTTCAGCTACCTGCTAGCACTTATCTGAGCCACATGCTCCGGGAATGGCTTTCATTTCCACACCTCTGTGGCTGTGTTCATCCTGTTTCTTTGTTCGTGTCCACTTATCAAGGGCCTATTCATCCATTTAAGCCTAACTAAAACATGAGTTTTCCTGTGAAGCTTCCTCATTCCCCCAGCCAGAATTAGTTATTCCCTCTTCTGGATTTCAATTATATCTCAATTATAGCATTTACCACTATCTGCATTAAAGGAAGACTCACTTTGTGAACATCTGTCTCATACTCACTTGTTAAGTTATTAAGAAGACATCTCTTATTCATGTTTCCTCATTTCCCCCTCCAGCACCATCACAGTCTTCAATAAATGAATAATTGAAAGACCTATGCTTGTACTTGTTCCATTTCTCAAACACTAGCTTTTGCATTCTTTGTGCAGGGACCAAGTTTTCATTTTTGTGTTTCCTCCAGCGCCTACCACAGTGACTTGTATGTAGTAGGTACCCAGTAAGTATTTGTGAATTGGGCTGACAGTTAAATAATTCTATCATTTGAATAATGTTTCGTTGAGGACCGGGAACTGCCTTTCTCATTTTTGCACAGAGCATACCATTGCAACCACAAACTACTCCTGCTTGGCTATATGCAAGCACATCAATTTTGCAACCACGAATGTGACTAGCACAGCCCACAAGTGAGTGCTGATTGATGCTAACTGTAGATGCAGTGGAAATATTAATGAGCTGTCGCTTCTCAAACCGTTTAAAGAAGATTTTTGCAATATTTAAAAACATGCCAGGGTTCTTGGAATGGAATACTTTGATCAGCAAGGGCATTTTCCTTTAAAACATGTATTACTTAGAATACCAAAAGAAATTAATGTTTAAATACAGTGAGCCAGCTCACACAGGGAATGGTTCATTCCTTTGCTAGTTGCTGTGGATATATGTGGAGTTAGTGTTTCATCAGGTACTAAAACTTTGGGCAAGTTTCTTAACTTCTCTGATCATCATGTCCCTCACTTATAAAATGGATGTTAGCATACATGGGTCATTGATATGCAAGAGTTACCTAATACAGTTGCCTGCTATGGAACACGTGTGCAGGTGATGGTGACAGTTTTTTGGGGTCATTTTTGTTGTTGTTGTTGTTGTTGTTGTGGCATCACACTGAGGTATTTTGAAGCCTAAACTTCCCCACCATTCTTTAACGGATTGGAGTACTGTTCAGATCTTTTTCCTGAAGCTGCCTGATTTTGGGATTTCTTTAATATAAGAAATAATCTTATCTCAGGGAGAAGTATAGGAGGATAGTTCTCCAAATATCAGTGGTGGCTATCTATGGATGATGGGGTGTGGAGTGATTTTAATTTTTGTGGTTTGAGGATTTGGGGTGAGTGTTCTTGTTTATTTTTTTTCTCCTCCATACTTCCTCAATTGTCAAAAATGATTACGTATTATTTTAACATCTGACGGTCTGCAGATGTTTGCACCTATGTATCCCAAAGATAGGAACACCTCCCAGTGCCCTAGATATTTTAATGAACTCTCTCTGCATCTTGAAGCTCTCAGCTATGTTTGTTTTGTTGCTTTTCTAGGTTACAGCACCATGAGCCCACAGGAAGACAGTGAAAATCCTCCATGCAACAATGATCCCTTGTCAGCTGGGGTTGATGTGGGGAACCACGACGAGGACTTAGACCTGGACACCCCCCCTCAGACTGCTGCCCTACTAAGTCACAAGTTCCACCACTACCGGTCACACCACCCCGCTCTTCATCACAGCCACCACTTACAGGCAGCCGTGACGGTACACACTGTCGATGCGGAGTGCTAACAGTCTCCTCTCCTCCACGAGAAGATGGGATGTGGGAGATACAGAATGTTCTGGAAAGAAAAAGAACCAGCTTAAAACCCACAGCAAGAGACCCCCCACCCCTTGTGTTTGTGCTTTGTCCAGAGTGGTTTAACTCATTTCCTGCCTGTCAACATGTTTAAAAATGAGGGAAACAACAACAAAACTCACATTTGTGAAGGCATGAAGCTGGTTCTGAAATGGAGGGGAAATAAGCCTGATTGATGAACCTGCCATAATATTAATGGAACGGAACGGAAGGCGAACCTCCAAACATAGAGACGAAACCTATAAATGAAGCTGAGCCAGAGGAATGTTCCAAGGAGCCAGAAACATTCAGCTCTCCTTAACTGGAAGAGAGAACAATGTTCTCAACCAGAGACTGGGAACGTGGCGCATCCAGATATAAACGTGTGCTTTGAAGCTTTCACTTTGTTTCTTAGCGGTACCTAGATACCACGATTGCTGTATGGAACTCATGTTAAGCTCTAAATGATGCATCTCAAAATTTCTAAGTAAAGGATTATTTTTCTACTATTTATTGAACTTTCAAACATTCTCAAACTTTGGGGAAAAGAAAAGGAAACACATGAGAAGTTTTCAGCAATTATCCCTAGCTGTTTTGTGTGTGATGAAGTGGTTCCTTGATTAGGAGTTCTATTTCTTATTTAACTGGTATCATCCCACTGCCCCACTCCACAAAATGGGAAAATGAAGAAATCTTTCTCTCTCACTTGTTTACATCATTTCATGGAAACACATCTTTATTTGTAATGCAGTATTCTTTCTCTGTGTTTGACAGAGGTAGGGAAGGGCAGAGGAATCTGAGGCATTTTAAAAGAAATGTTATGTTTCTCTATAACTCATTTCCACTCCCATACAATGCTATTCTTAGGTTTCTACGAAACCTAATATTACAACTCCAGCCTTTCAGCTAAAGGAGGGTTGGATTTATTCTCCTTGTTTTAGAGACTTTTAAATGTCCCATTTTGATTCTGAGAACATTGAACATATAAGGGAAGTTTTTTTTTAATTGCGAAAGTTTGGTTCCTAATTAAAGATTTCTTTTGAAATCATAGTTAAAAGCTGCTGCCGGTTATCCAAGGAGTTATTCACCAAAACTGCTTTGTGATTTATATGGAGATTAATCAAATCTGGCTACTGTAACATGGGGCATCGTAATTTTAAAGTAGTGTTCTAATTACAGTGATGTATTTTAGATTCACATTTTGTGATTCAAATATGTTATAAAGACATTCTTGCACCGTGTGTGTTAAATCTCCATTTATATGTAGTTGGAAAAAATTCACTGAATAATGTTTTAATGATAGGGTATTATGATACAATGTAAAAAAAAATTGGTTCTTCAGCAGTACAGAAAGTAAACTATATACGTGCTATCAGGAAACCCCTTCATACTGTGTATAAAATTGCAGTCTAGTGAAATAAACTGTATGCAACAGACCATCCTAGTGGCCACAGTGATTTATTATTGTACCTCTTCTCATGTCTCAAGGCAAGTTATGTTCACTCTGTAACCTAGCAAGTCACTGCTGAACTGGAAGTAGGCCTTCTTCCAATGCCACGGTCAACTTCAGGGGCTTCTTGAGCATCTCAAACACCTAAAGGAACTTAAGGATACATGGGATAACATAAAAAGCAAACATTTAAAACTGTCTAGAACTGCCTCTTCCAAATCTGCATCATTAAAAATAAATGATTATTCTGTAACTGCTGGAAAAATTGAATGAGTTTCCTGTCTTCCCAGAAAATTAAACTTCTCCATGGGATACTGTTTTTTTCCTAGAGTTGAGAACCTTGGTGTTAGGAAACTAGCTTCTTGACTGAGGGAGGGCGGAGGTAGAGTGGAAACTTGGTGTTTTCAAGAAAAGAATCACAAAATGTAGAGCTTAAAAATGAAATGGGTACCGTCTACTCAAACACAGTAACGAATGCATTTTGTATCTTTTGTTAAGACTGTCTCCTATCCTGAACTTCAGGGCAAAGTAATTGAATGCTTATACCTGAACAAAAAAACCTGACTTTTAAAGATCTTATGAAATAAGACATGCAGATTTATGAAGTTTTGGTTGAATATTTGATCTTCTGAGTTATCTTTTGTCTTATTCTACAAACATTAACATATAATGTTGTTTAAACATTTGTTGTTGCTGCTGTGTGAAAGGAAAAATGTGGTTTTGGAAACTTTTTCTCCTGGTGACTAATAATTGGTTCCTTTTGCTTCTCAGGTACCACTGTTGTTTTTTTTTTTTTTTTTTTTTGAGACAGAGTCTCACTGTGTTGCCCGGGCTAGAGTGCCGTGGCGTCAGCCTAGCTCACAGCAACCTCAAACTCCTGGGCTCAAGCGATCCTTCTGCCTCAGCCTCCCGAGTAGCTGGGACTACAGGCATGCGCCACCATGCCCGGCTAATTTTTTCTATATATTTTTAGTTGTCCAATTAATTTCTTTCTATTTTTAGTAGAGACGGGGTCTCGCTCTTGCTCAGGCTGGTCTCGAACTCCTGAGCTCAAACAATCCGCCCGCCTCGGCCCCCCAGAGTGCTAGGATTACAGGCGTGAGCCACTGCGCCCGGCCACCATTGTTTATTAAACATGGGTCTTCCCTGAAATCCTGAAGAGAGATCCTATCAAATCCTTCTCATTCACCAAAGCCTCCTGTTACCTATAACCAACATTGCTTATCAGTGTCAGTAAGTAGCAAGAGCTAAAAGCATTCCAGTCACTCTGTATAGCTAGAAAAGAAAATTTCCTGTTTGTGCCCCAAATAAAACAGGGTTCAGACTCATGCTAGTCCTCCTGGTATGCATTCATCTGCTTTTCAGATAGATTTATTTTAGAAATTTTGGAAACTGAATTGTAGTTTGTTTTCCTCTACTTCTTAATTTAATTCGAATACTCAACTAAACCTTATTAATACACTTGTTTGAAAAACTTAGGCAGTATAAGTCTGTTTTGCCTATCAGAGGGACTGGTATGTGGAAAGAAGTCCTGAAAGACTTAAGTAAGTGCATTTCCCCGTGGCAATGGACTGCTCTAATGATTGCATATTTTTTAAATGTATATCTGGTACAATAATTATATTCTTAAAACATACCAGCCCCAGTCTCGTCTGTTTCAAAACAGAAGAGTGGTGATTTTCCTGGCTGAGATATAAAGTTTTTTTGTTTTTTTTTTTGAAAGGAGTTCTCGCTGTATCACCCAGGCTAGATCGCAGTGGCCTGATCAGAGCTCACTGTAACCTCAAACTCCTGGGTTCAACCAATTCTCCTGCTTTAGCCTCCTGAATAACTAGGACTACAGACATGCCCCACCATGCCCAGCTGAAAGATATATTTCTGTGTCTATTATAACTATCCGAGATGGCCTTTTTGGTAGCTAACACACCCACACATTGAGATTCTGGGATTTTCCTGGTTTTCCTTCATCCTCCCTCATCAGTCCTACATTGTTCCTAAAGGCATTTTCCTTCTCTCATCCTTTAATTCAATGTTTCTCATTTTTTATTAGTTAGAGCTCCTTCCCCTTAAGGACAAAATTTTGATTTAATTTAAATTTTCCCTAATAAGAGAAATTAAACACTAGGGGATAAGATTTTGTTGGATAGAGTTGTACGTTGGAGAAGCTACAAACCATTGTAATATGTTTTCTCTTCCTTCCCCAAGAATCCATTGTCACCCCATTGTGTGCAATACCCCCCTCATTGAGAAGGTGTGCCTTAAATAAAGGTGTGTTTTCGTAGCACTCTGGGAGGCCGAGGCGGGCGGGGATCGTTTGAGCTCAAGAGTTCCAAGAGTTCAAGACCAGCCTGAGCAAGAGCAAGACCCTGTCTCTACTAAAAAAAAATAGAAATTAGCTGGACAACTGAAAAGTATGTATAGAGAAAAAATTAGCCGGGCATGGTGGCGCATGCCTGTAGTCCCAGCTACTCCGGAGGCTGAGGCAGGAGGATCATTTGAGCACAGGAGTTTGAGGTTGCTATGAGCTAGGCTTATGCCACGGCACTGTAGCCCCGGCAACAGAGTAAGACTCTGTCTCAAAAAAATAAATAAATAAAAATAATAGATGTTTTTGAAAGTTCTGACCTCAGCCCCTTTTTCGGTACGATTTGATGCTCTACCATCTCTTTAAGCTAGCCATCCATCTTATTGCTTGGGGTGGTAGAGCACTGAATTAAAAGCAAGGAGGTCTGAGGCTGAGTACACAAGAATGAATGAAACAGACACAACCCCTTCGTACTGAATCTAGTGGTATAAGGGGATAACAGGGTTGACTCCCCAGTGTAGGTCCCACTCTTCCTCCATGATGTAATTGGGAATAGATTCCACTAGTTGACTTCAGTCCTAGGGTTGGATTTCTTACTAGTCTTATGACACACATAATAAACCCATCCTACTTATTCGGTCACAAGCTAAGACTCACTGCAACCAGCATAAAGCATTCTTCTTGATGGTAGTTGGGGAAGATGTGGCTAATTTGGTCCAATCTGACTGGGAGGACTTAGGTTGCAAGGAAAGACTTTCTGTCTCCCAGTAAGTGTGAATAAGCCAGCAGGTAGCATCCATCCCAACTGGTTGCTATCTGGCTTTCACTAATGTCAGCAGCCTCAGGAGGACACTGATGCTATGGACAGTGGAGTGGAGGGAATGAAAGAGCTGGACATCGATCATAAACTGCTGACTCAACCAGCTCTGAATCCCACCCTACCTCCGGATTTCCACTTATGGGAGATAATTAAAACTCCTACTGTTTAAGATTTGAGTTGGCTTTTTAATACCTGCATTTGAAAGCATCCAATATATTCATCAAACAAGCAGATACAAAAACATAGGTATAATTTTGCAAAGGGCTATCTGCTGTGAAGGCAACGGAAGGGTGATGGGCGAAAGAGCCCACAGGGAGTGTGTGCAGGGAAGAAATCTGCTTTAGATTTCTGAAAGCCTCTGAAAGGCCTCTTTTTCTCATGCAAAGCCTCTGGGAGGGCGATGTATAAGCTGCTATCTGAAGAATGAGAAAGACCCGAATAGTCAAGGGAACAGTGAGTAAGCTAATGTTTCAGGCAGAGGGAATAGGACGTGCAGTGGGCCTGAGCTGGGAAACAGCATCAGATCTAGAGCATTGGGCAACAGGGAAAGTGGGCCATAATGAGAATGAAGAGGTAGGAAAACAGGGCCCCTTAGGCTGTGGCAAGAAAAAGGCGAAGTGAATGAGAAGCTGATAGGATCTTTTAGGAAGAGAGGGAGGGTGAGGCTATCTATATTTTTAAAAAACCATTCTGAGTTGAAATGCATTGTAGGGTAGCAAAAATGGAAATGTGGACAGGAAACCATTACAGAAGTCAAGGCCAATGCAGGGTAGTGGCAGTGAAGATGGAGGAAGCGGGGTGGTGGAAAATAGATTTGGGAAGCAGAAACAACAGTGCTGGGTTGGTTATGGAGAGTGGTGAGAAAAGGGTTTCTGTCGTGAGCAATTTCATCAATAGTGGTATCACTGTGTTGGGGGTGGCAAGGGCAAGAACAGTTGGGGAAAGAGGGTAAGGAATGAAGAGTCCGTGTTTGATGTTTGGTGTAACGTGGCTGGAGGCGTCGTTTATCCTTGCACACCTGTGGCCAGTGACGGTAATGATGACTCACGTCGAACACTTGCTTTGTGACAGGCATTGTGGTGAGGTCTTTCCATGTGCTAACTCATTTAATATGGCTTAGCTTTGACCAGCCCATGCCACAGAAGAGCTTTCAGTCTTGCCTCTTTCTTTACCTTCAGGGCTTGCTCCACAGTTCGTATCCTGCTACCCCTTGCATGCCTCTGCTAGCCTCCAGCCAACTGTTCTACTGCTCGGATGCCTAACTTCCTAGATGTAATATATGTCTTTGTTTATGTTTTTCCATCTACTTGTGTGTTCTAAAGAGAAATAACCACTCCCCTCACCCCAGCAAGTCTTGGTTCAAATATAACTTCTTCCATGGCCAGGTGGCCATGTTTCTTTTTCTTTTTAAATTTTGTTTATTTTTAATTATTATGGGTATATAATAGTTGTGCGTCTTTATAGGGTACATGTAATGTTTTGATACAGGCATACAATGCGAATCAAATCAGGGTAATTGGGGTATCCATCACCTCAGGCATTTACCATTTCTTTGTGTTAGAAACATTCCAATTGTACTGCTTTAGTTATTTTAAAGCATGCCCTAACTTGTTGATTATGGTCACTTTGTTGCGCTATCAAATATTGTTAATTCTAGCTAACTATCTGACTATATTTTTGCACCCATTAATGATCTCCACTTTATTCCCCACTCCCCACTCCGCTTCCCAGCATCTGGTAACTATTATTCTACTCTCTGTCTCCATAAGATCAATTGTTTTTAATTGTTTTTAATATTTAACTCCCACATGTGAGTGAGAACATGTGAAATTTGTGCTTGGCTTATCTGACTTAACA